CTTAAAAGTGAGACAATCAAATCCATTTTCAAACCTTGATGAATGGGGATAAATTGACTTTTTTGTCTCTAAGGCAAAACATTTCCCAAAGAGAATAACTTGGGAGTTTTTTAGGCCATCTTTGGGAGTGTTTAAGTTAAAAATAAGTGCTTAAAAACAATTGTTTATTTGAATAAGCACTTATTTGCATTTGACATCCAACTTTTTCAAGTGCTTATATTTTAAAGTAAGCACTTATTTTATATTGGGCATTTGATAGTTTTTTTTTTCTAATAAGCATTTGTGACTATTTTGTTTTTTTATTTTCTTTCAAATTTTCAAAATATACCTTTTGAAAGCAGTTTTAATAAATTATTTATATAAAAGTACTTTTATAAAAAAACTTTTATAAAAGTACCTTTATGAAAGTACTTTTACGAAAGCACTTTTATGAAAATACTTTTATGAAGCACTTTTATAAAAGTGCTTTTATGAATGCATTTTTATAAAAGTGCTTTTGTAAAAATGCTTTCATAAAAATACTTTCTTAAAAGTGCTTTCTTTAAAGTACTTTTATAAAATTCAACTAGGGATAATTTTATAAGTGGTATTTTAAAATTCAACTAGGAATAATTTTGGAAGAAAAAAAAATTGAGTAAGTGCTTATTGTATCAGCACTTAAAATAAAGCTCGAAATTTGGGCTTAAAAATTAAGCCATTATTTTAAAAATAAGCACTTATTTCGGGTTTATTTCCCAAATACCAATAAGTGCTTAATGGTCCAAATAAGCACTTATTTTTAAGCACTCCCAAACATGGCATTAGGTGTGTAATGGTTTTTTTAATCAATATTCAATTTGTATTTTCTTCCTACTTTTTATTTTTTTTTTTTGTTTTATATATTTCATTTAAAAGAGACATAATGACAGATATTATTTAAGGGGCATTATTTTGAGGAGGGGGGGGGGGAGTTGGTCAATGAGACCTTTGACCAAGGTGGCGTTTGGTAGTATGAAAATATCGTGGACGGAACTGTTTTGGTCCTGTCCACAGTCGAATGTGGTGTTCTGATGGGTGTGGATGGTCTCCATCCACAAAATAGCATGGACAAGGATGGGTCACACCCCAATTTATTGTCCACAATATTTTCTTGTGGATGGGCCGCATTGTGGTATGGACATTTTGTGGGAAAGATTTGATGTAACACACCTATGTTACATTGGTCTAACTATTCTTATTTTATTTAATCTTTTAATATATTATAATTTATATAGAAATTATTTTTTTAATTATTTATTATCGTAGATAATATTATAATGACAAATATATTTATTAGTAATTACATATCGGTGTTTTATTTTATCCATTAATATTTTATATTATTTTTGGCTTAAATTATGGTTCTTTTTCATTCATGATCGTACGGGTGCAAATGAATTGGATCAAGATCCGATCTGAAATCCAATCCTATTTTTGTCATATTTGGATAATAGATGATCGGATTTGATTCGGATCACCCCTATCTGATCCAATATGATCAATTGTATAAGATTATCTCACAAGTTGTACATGAGATGTATAGAATCAATAGGTGTGGTGCGGAGTATTCCACATTACACATGCAGAATGCCCTTGTGGGTGTAAATAGTTTCTATCTATATAATTTGATCCATAATTCAAAACAACTTTAAACAGTAGTGTGGTGTAGATTGGTCCCTATTATAGAGTGTGGTGTGGATTAGTCCACACCCACAAAATTTTCATCCACACTATAAAACACCCCTAGAGAAACCCATGCTCAAATTTATGTGGGGACCAAGGAAAATTTAATTTCCTCGGTATCATACTGATCTCTCAAGTGGGTAAATAACTTTCCCACCTAGGGGAAAGTTGCCAATACTTGGATGGGACAAAAATGCCACTTTAAATAATGGATTTTTATGGCTAAAACGATCATTGTTTTCTTACCAAAAAGTGAAAGGGGCCTAAATAGATCATAGAATCAGCGTGTAAGAAAAGAAAGCAGTCAACGCCATGTTGTTACTCAGGCTCAACATGGCTACAGTGTGAGTTTCATTTGGACACAGGCTGTATAGTTTCGTTGCCATTTATTTAATGTTTTGTTTGACATTTCTCTTGAAAAATTAGAAAAAATGTTGATAAACAGTTTTCTTTCGATAGAAAACTCACACACAACCAGAGAAAATTATTTATTTGATAAACAATTTAATCAAACAACATTCCATGCTCCATTGGGGAAAAAGCCTATGGCACAAAGCTGGTGTCATTTTTTCACAAACAACAATGGAACCAAGGCTCCATTTGTTTGCTAAACAAACGCTGGACCGGGGTATTTATGTACCTCGGTTCGCATTTGCGAGCGTTTGTTTGATATGTAAAAAAGTAATGATTAAGAGCTCAAAAATGTATTTTCTGACATTTTTATACTCTTAAGAGAGAGCATTACTATACCTATATTTTGGATACAATTTTGTGATTTTCATAATTTTACTTTTTGACCAAAGTTTAAGGAATTGGAGCATTAATGATTTGTACCGATTTCGAACAAACAAGATGAATACAGAAACGGTTTAAAAATGTAAACCATGTTTGCATTCATGAACTGAAAAGAAAGTAATTATGTAGACTGCAGAGTACATATTTGCATTTGCATCGCAACCAAACACAACCTAAATACCATTAATGAGGAGTAAAAGTAGGACAAGTGCAAAAAGGGAAGGGAGGCAGAAAGGTGCCAATCAGTTGGTTGGTAAGGTCTTGCTTGAGGGAAGACTTGGGATTGAATTCTGGGAAAATTCTTGATTAGTATCCTGTACTTTAGGCCTAGTGCCACTTTGGTCCCCGAACTTTAAAATGTGAATTCAATACCCAAACTTTTAAAGCGTGCCAATCCAGTGTCTGTCGTTAACCAGTCTGTTAACCAGCCATTAAGTGGCATTTGAAAAGACATAAATGCCCTTCAAGTGTCATCTAATTCTCTTTATCAACCATCCAACCATTGATAAAAAATGAACAATCCCAAATCTTTGCCTCTTCTATTCAAGAAAGTTGGGGTCATTGTCTCAATGGGCATTCTTGTATCCCCAACTTTCTTGAATAGAAGAGGCAAGGATTTGGGACTGTTCATTTTTTATCAATGTTTGGATGATTTATAAAGAAAATTAGATGACACTTGAAGGGCATTTGTGTCTTTTCAAATGCCACTTAACGGCTGTTTAACGGGCTACTTAACAGTAGGTACTAGATTGGCATATTTTGAAAGCTCGGGTACTGAATTGTCACATTTTAAAATTTGGAGACAATAGTGGCACTAGACCCCCAAAGTACAATGTACTGATCAGGAATTTTCCCTTGAATTCTGCCCAAAAAAAACAGTTGTATCAAAAAAAAAATCAAAGAGAGGCAAGAGAAAGATTATTTGTTGGGAGGAGATAGGTACCAGGCAAAATAATGTGGTCTCCCTGTTATATGAGAGAGAATTAAGGGAGGAGAAAGATAGAGGCAAAATAATGTGGTCCCCATATTATATGAGAAAGAATTAAGGTAGAAGAAACGCGGTGCAAATAAATGCAATTTTTTTCTTTGTCAATGAATGCAAATGAGATTAAAGTGTTAAATTTTGCAATAAATAAAAGTGCAAATCATGATCATAAACAAATAAATGCCAAGCTTAAGGGTGCAAAATTTATATCTAGTTCAGATTCGCACTGCAAACAAACAGAGTCCAAGAATTCCACCTTCGAATAAAAGTGGCGCGTGCACAAAAAGATACGAACGAATCATCCAACCCTTGTTCAACATCTTGGATATCTCTATATCGAAAGCCTACCAGCTCAATTGATTCCGATCATCTAAAGAATGAAGCTTTTGCTCAATTTATTCCAAGTTCCCAACCATCTCATGAATGAACCTTTTTTTTTATGTGAATCATTGATTATCTAATGATAAGAGATCTCTACCCAAGGTTTAAAGAATCTTCATATCTTTAGGTCTGAGATACAACTGGTTTTAGGTATTTTATTAAATTGATTTAAATGTACCTTGAGTTTTTCAAAAGACTTAAAGGTACCTTATTTTATCTTTCATCTTCTTTTAGGATCTATTTGGTCTACAGTCAGAATTAAAATCAGAACCGGAATCAAAATCCTTCAAAATCAGAATCGGAATGGTCTATTCCCATGGTCAGTTTAGTTCAAAAGAAATGGGAATGGGATTTGGAATCAGCAGGCATAAGATTTCATTCCCAAGGAAAGGGCAGGGAATGGCCATTCCCTCAAATGGGAGAATAACATTCCAGCAGAAATCAGAATGAGATTCCAATTCCGCCCAACCAAAACAGTTGGAATCGAAATAGTCATCCGATCCGATTCCAGATCCCTATTCCAGCGAACCGGATGGGGCCTTGAATTTTTAAAACATACCCTGCACTAAAAAGATAGAGAAAAAACAATAAAATAGATATCCAAATAGATAGAAGCCAAAAAACAGGTATCGAAACGGATAGCGAAAGAACAATAAAAGAAAATTGCAGATTGAAATAATAAACAATACTCAGATAAAAAACGGTAATCAGATCTAGATAGGTGAGAATACTTGCTTGGGTTTTGAAGAAAGTAGGGTTGGTGACGGAACACAGAGAGACTGAAAGATCCAGACAAATAAGACTGAAATGGAGTAGGTAGAGAAAGTTGCAAAAGAGCTTCTAAAATGGTGACATTGTAAGAGATTAAAAGGATTTCCTTGAAAGTTGAAAGAGCTTTTCTCAGATAGTCGAAACAAAATTTCAAGGTAAAATTATTTCATTGGTAGGTTTGCCTATGAACTACTTAGAAGTTGTTCATTCGATATTTTGATCTTTGACTCATTGTTGTATTCATTCTGTTTTTAGCTTCTGGTTAGAGACCTATTAGGTGATGCCCATCACAAATTGATAAGTGATAACTATTAAATGCTTGCAAAGTAAACAAGGAAAAATCATTGATTCCAAACCAAGGCTAAACTTAAACAGTATTTTTAACATAATTTATTCAATTTATCATAAAAAAACTGGCATCCAATTTGCATTTATAATTGGCAAAAGAAAATATAGAGAGATTAAATACTACATAGTCCAAGCAAGTAATGGGCATAAAAGTTGGAGAACAATATAACGGTCTGCATGTATGAAGCATATATATGTATTTAACGCCTTCCTGATGCTACTGATTCAGTAGAGAAGAGATGCTTCACTCGCGAAAGAACTGAATCCTGTGCCGGATCATATGGATGGTCCTTGGAAGGAATTTCTAGAATTGCTGGAACTGGTTTGTTGTAGCTATCCACTAGGAACCTTATCATGTTCGCAACCTGAAAAAGAGACCAAAAAAAAAACCATTTTTTATAGAAGTAGCTTTCTCAATTTTAACAAAATCATGGAAAAGAGAACAACCAGGCCTCAGAAATCATCAAATACCAAGAGCCTCCCTTATGGAGATAAGAGGGAGCAAGCTAAATAAATTCACATCTGAAGACCGAAAGAAAAAATTAATAGACATTTTCTAATTCAGAAAACAACATCTAATAATCTAGCCTTATTCACCTTAATAGCGCACTATAGTTATTCAGAAAGCATTTTGTGGGGTATGACAATTGTGCTCAAGTAACCAACATTAAATGCAAAAATAAGCATAAAAGTTGCTTATTGTCTTTGAGAACACTGCTATGTTTATAACACCCTCAATCTCTATGGAAGGGGATGATCAGTAGCTGGTCCACGAATATGCTCAGTCACACTGGAACTGAGACAAGACCCAGTCTCCTACAGGAGACGGGAATTTTTTGCAATGGGCAAAAACATGAAGAGCAGTTCCATGTGGAGGTAGAAGGTGCACAGTTGTCAACTTCTTTTCCCAGAGAAGAATGAATGTATATCAAATATTCAAATTTAAAAGCTAATCCTGGGAATAGTATTGTGGGCATTAATTTTGATGGCTACATTGCAAGGAGATATGTTGAGATTTTGGGTTTCTTTAAATTATTAAGAAAAGATTGTGCATTTTACTGAGGTCCTATCTACTGTTAAGGGCAAACCCCAAATCCTTTTGGAGTCCAGTCTTTTTTTTTTTTTTAGGAAAAGGCAAGTTTTATTGATACAAAATATGCCCAAATGGTGCTGATGACTGCAGCCGGAATGGACATCCACACAGCTGAAGCAAGTTTTGACAATCCTTGTAACCCCCAGCTCCACAGCATCTCCTTCACTTCAGCTGGCATAGTCCAAGCAAGATCCACTGAAGAGAGAAAATGAATCCAAATTCTAGCAGAGATAAAGCAGTGCAGAAACAGATGACTGTTATCTTCCACTTCTTGACCACACAGCACGCAGCTCTGATCCTGAAGCTGGACCCCTCTCTTAAATAGGTGGGTTTTAGTTAAACACCTGTCTAGAGCTGCGGCCCACACTAGAGCATTGATTTTTGAGGGAGAAGTTGGATTCCAGATTCTGGAAGCAGGCACATCTTCTGAAAAACTTGCCATCAGGTGAGTGGCAAATGACTTGACTGAGACAAGACCATCTGTGCTCCAAGTCCAGGACCATCTTCTTTGAGCAGATTCAGGGGTTGAAGGGAGAGTAGTTCAAGTAGATCAGCCAGGTCTGCGATTTCTCAATCCTGAAAATTTCTTCTGAAAGGACACCAAGCTACTGAATTCCCAATCACCTCAAAACATTCAGCAATCACTGCATCTTGGTGATCAGCTAACTGAAATAATTGTGGGAATAACTCCAATAAAGGAGTGTTTCCACACCAAGGATCTTTCCAAAAGGACAGCCTGTCACCCTTCCCAAGAATGGGGCTTAAACCTCTGCTGGAAATGGGGAGAATATCCATTATTTTCCTCCGTACAGCGCAGCCTGAGGGGAGAGAAGTGGTAATCCAGTCTCCTCTATCTGTGTTGTATTTAGTTACCATTAACTTCCTCCACCAGTTGTTTCTTTCCAACCCGAACCTCCAGATCCACTTCCCAAGAAGAGCCTTATTGAAGATCCTCATTTGCCTAATGCCCAATCCTCCTTTCACCAAGTAGATTTTCTTCCTGTCCTCCCAACCTTTCCATAGAAAGTCCCTTTGCAGCCTCTCAATTCTTTGGGCCACTTGGAATTGGAAATAAGGAGAGATAGAATGCAGGCAGATTGGATAGGGAGCTTTTTAAAAGGGTAATTCTGCTCCCAAGGACAAGCATTTAGCCTTCCAAGCTGCCAATTTCTTTTCCAACCACTCTAAGACTGATTCCCAGATCATTACTGAAGTGCATTTTGCTCCTAGAGGGAGTCCCAAATACTTTGTTGGAAGGAACCCCACCTGACAAGCTAATCTCTCTGCCAAATCCTCTGCATTTTTCACTTTTCCCACTGGGATCAAACAGCTCTTGCTCCAATTAACTTTCAGCCCTGTCACTAATTCAAACCAACAGAGAACTCCCACTAATTAAATCTAGATGATCTTCCTTAGCTTCCATAAAGCATAAAGTGTTGTCTGCAAATTGCAGCACTTGAACATTCTCCCCTCCTGGAACCACCTCAAAACCCTTCCATCACACAAATGAACAATAGAGGGGAGAGAGGGTCTCCCTGTCTAAGCCCCTTAGAGTTTTTGAAAAAGCGCACCGATTGGCCATTTAAGATGACTGAAAATTTGGGAGAGGTGATGCAGACTTTTATCCAATTCCTCCATTTCTGCCCAAAATTCATTTTATCCAATACGAAGTCCAAACATCTCCAATTGGCATTGTCATAAGCCTTCTCAAGATCAAGTTTACAAATCAGGCCTAGATTGCCCTCCCTTAATCTTGAATCAATTAATTCATTTGCTACCAAGACCTTGTCCAACATTTGGCGACCGGGGACAAATGCAAACTGATTTTGAGAGATCACATTAGGCAGTACCTTTTTCAACCTCTCTGCTAAAACCTTGGCCAGAATTTTATAGAAGCTTTTCAGGAGGCTAATAGGTCTGAAATCCTTCAAGTTCGTAGCACCTTCGACTTTCGGGATCAAAGAGATGAATATGGCATTTAAGCTCCTTTCGAATGAGGTGTTCCTATGGAACTCCTGGAAAACCTGCATCACATCTGACTTAACCACTTCCCAACAGCTTTTGTAAAATAAATTGGTAAGCCCATCCAGACCCATGGATTTTTTTGAATCAAGATTCTTTATCACCTGCCAAACTTCCTCTTTCAGAAAAAGGGGCTTCCAAGCATCTTTGTTGCTCCCCAGAAATTCTTTTGAAATTAACTCCCACTGGCAGAGGTCTTTTTTTCCAATCTTCCTTAAAGAGATTCGAGAAGAAATTTGAAACCATTCTTTCCTTGTCTTGCCAAGATTCCCCAGCCTTCCCATCAAGCTCCAACTTTTCTATACTATTTACTCTATTTCTAGCCTTTACCATTTTATGAAAAAATCTAGAATTTCTGTCCCCAGCCTTGAGCCATTTCACCTTTGCCCTTTGCCTCCATTTCAGGTCATCCTTATTGGCTATCTAGGAGCAGTTTCGCACTTTCGCTGACAGCCTTCATTTCTTTTCTTCCTCTGAAATGGGACCTCTTTCCTCTGCTGTATCTGTCTCTTTGATTTCCTCAAGACACTTCCTCTTTTCCTTTTCTGACTAATTCCAATTTTCTGCCTTCCAAGATTTCAAAGACTCCTTGATTGCACCCAATTTCTTTGCTAAGATATAAGAGATTGTTCAAACCACCTGAGTTTCAGTCCAAATATTCTTTAAGAAAAGGTACAAAGTCTTCTTCTTCAAACCAGTCATGCTCCAATTTAAAGATGGACTTTCTTCAGGCTTGCCCACCACAAACTAGTTGAAGAGGGGAGTGGTCTGAAATTGGCCTTGGCAAAAGCCAACTGTTTCAGGTTTTGAAATAGGTCTTCCCACCCCGACGAAACCAAAAATCTATCAAGGTTTACTAGGACAGGATTATCTTGGTTGTTTGTCCACATAAATTGAGCCCCTGATAGAGGAAGGTCTCTCAGTTCAAATTGATTCACAAAGTTTGCAAATCACCTCCTGTCTCTAGCTCCATTTCTGTCTTCCAAAAATCTAGTAACATTGAAGTCTCCCCCTACGACCCAAGGAATTATGGAAGACCCTCTTGCTTCTGATAAGTCCTCCCAAAGCCTTTCCCTTTCTTCATTTAAAGTTGGACCCTAAACATTAGTAAATAAACCCCTCACTCCTTGCTCCTACTCTAACTCAACTGAGATAGAGAAATCACCAACATGGGAATCAATCAACTTACATTTCGGTCTATATCCCACATGGTAATTAGGCCACCTGCACTTCCTCTAGACGGCTTGTTGATCCATCTAACTTCCCCTTGCCCCCAGATACTCCTGATTGTTTCAGCTTGCACCACTTCCAATTTGGATTCTTGAAAGAAAACCACCTCTGACCTCCATCTCTTCAACAAGTCACACACCACCATCCTTCTTCTCCCCAACCCTAAACTCCTCACATTCCAAGACAAAATTTTTAATTCCATAAAGAAAGATAAGACCCCCCCCCTTCCTTGCCCTGACCTTCCACTTTTCTCTACACCTTCCCCCCCCCCCCCCCCGCCTGACCCTCCCCTTTCCCCACCTTCATTCAAACCCCAAGAAAGTCTCAGCATTTCCTTGTTTTTCTTGATAGAACTTCCCCCTTTTTTAACGTTCAGCTTTTCTTTTTCCGCCGACAACCTCTTCTCTATCCCCTCTAAGTAGCTAACTGTCTCCTCCTCTAGGCCCTCTATCAATACCCCCAGAAACTTCCCCAACCCCAATAATTTTGAAGTCACCCAAGCCAAAGTAGAGTCAACCTTCTTCCTTCCCCCATTTTTCTCACCCCTCTCCCCCTCCAAAAACACCTCCTTTCCCCTTTTTTGTCCACCCTCTCGAACTGAAAAGAAATCACATACCTAAAAAATAGAGGCTCTGGCCAGCAACTAGAGCTATGGGGTAGCTTCCTCTCTGGCTTCAATTATAGCCAATGAGGTGATCTCTATTGGTGTTGACTCTTCTGGTATCGTCTCCATCGTCGCAACAGCCAACTGAACAGTCTCACCAATTAAGACTGAGGTAGGAGAGACCCTTGGAGGCGTCATTTACTGGAAGAGAGGCCTTTGCGGGTTTCTTGAGAAGCTTGGCTCTGCACATTGCTGCAACTAAGCAAATTCATCCCTTTCTACAAAGAAGATCTGGCCTGTCGAGGTTAACCAATTCGGTCTCAGTAGCCAAATACGCTCCCCCTCCCGAACACCACTTTGGGTTTGAGATGAGGTTGGTTGGGTCCAGGTTTCTTTCAGGTTGCTTGAACCACTTG